TGGTCATTGCATTTTTACCTGAACCAAAGCAAAACCCAGTGTTGCCACCATGCTTCATGGAATGCCAGAGTTCAACACTGTTGCTCTTGAAAATCTGGGTCTGAGCCGGGCGTGGTGGCTCAAGCCTGTAATCCCAGCACTTTGGGAGGCTGAGGCGGGTGGATCACGAGGTCAAGAGATCAAGACCATCCTGGTCAACATGGTGAAACCCCGTCTCTACTAAAAATACAAAAAATTAGCTGGGCTTGGTGGCGCGTGCCTGTAATCCCAGCTACTCAGGAGGCTGAGGCAGGAGAATTGCCTGAGCCCAGGAGGCGGAGGTTGTGGTGAGCCGAGATCGCGCCATTGCACTCCAGCCTGGGTAACAAGAGCGAAACTCCGTCTCAAAAAAAAAAAAGAAAATCTGGGTCTGAAAAAAGGCACAACAGCTCCTGCCCTGCCCCGCCCTGCTCTAGCTGAGGCACACAGGGAGACTTAGTGAAGATAAGCACAGATTGAATTGTACAATTTGGAAATGCAGATTTAAATGCATGAGACATGCATGATAACTCAGAGTTGACATTTTTAAACTTGCCACACTGACTTCAAGTATTTGTATTCAGCTATGTTAACATGTACTGTAGACATCAAACTTGTGGCCATGCTAATAAAATCATTAAAAGGAACACTAAAGGAAAACTGTGTGCCAAGCATCGTATCCTAAGGCATACGGAATCTGGGGAAGCCACTGTGCAATCCAGTGAGGCTTCAATGTGCAGCAACCAAAATGGTAGGGAGGTCTTGAAGCCAATGAGGGATTTACAGCATCTTGAGTGGAGAGCAGCAAACCACCAGGGGGCAGAGTTGCACTTTTCTACGCTAATTAGGAACCTCTGCAACAGATGTGATCATAGGCAATTAGAACTGGAAGAAACTTCCAAGGACATCTAGGTTTGTCCTCATGTTACAATTGAGGAAGCTAAACTCTGGAAGGGAGGGGTTGCCTCAAAAGTCACAGTTAAGCTGGGCACAGTGCCTTACGCCTATAATCCCAGCAACTCAGAAGGCCGAGGCAGGAGGATTACTTGAGGCCAGACTGGGCAACATAGCAAGACCCCATCTCTTTAAAAAAATTAGCCTGGCATGGTGGTACATGCCTATAGTCCCAGCTATTTGGGAGGCTGAGGTAGGAGGATCACTTGAGCCCAGAAGTTAAAGGCTGCAGTGAGCCATGATTATACCACAGCACTATAATTTTGGTGACACAGTGAGACCCTGACTCTTAAAAAAAAGAGAGAAAGAGAACTAGAACTTCTTGTTTACAGTTAGCAAGAAACTATACAAGTGGTTTAACATGCATTCTCTTAATCCATACAAAAGTCTTATGGAGGTGTTAACACTCTTTCTATTGATGAAGAAATGAGCCACTTACCCAAGGTGTCTTGAGTCTGGTACAATTGGCATTCAAATCCAGGTCAGTCTGCTTCCAGAGCCACTACCCTTACCCCTCACTGAATCTGCCTTTATATTGTTGAACCCACGATCCCAACTCTGTGCTCTTTCCAATTTGAACTTCCAGGGATTTCACTGTGAACTAAGTAGCAATATTAAAATGAAGTTGAATTTTTAAAAATAGCAACGTTATCTGACTCCTCTAGCTTACCCCCTCCCACCTTTCAACTCCATCTGTGGCCTTTGTCCAGGCCCACAGCTTAGCCATGGCTTCCCTCCTGCATCCCTGCTGTGGGTTGCCAGCCTCACACTTGCAGCGGCCAGGAAGTGATTTTGGAAGGCCACCAGTCCACACAGCTATATGACAATGAGAAGCAAGCTTTGTGCCAGATTGTGTTGGCACAGGCATGATGGGTGGGGCTTGGTACATTTTGATTCAGCATTTGCAAAACAATTGTCTTCAGTTTTAAAATGAAAAAAGATTTGTTCATTGAGTGGGACAAATGTCTAAACTGCATGTACTTCCGTGCCATGGAAGTTATGATGGGTGAAAGGGAGGAAAACGTGACCAAAGAAGATACATCAGGCTGGGCGTGGTGGCTCACACCTGTAATCCCAGCACTTTGGGAGGCTGAGGCAAGTGGATCACTTGAGGCCAGGAGTTCAAGACCAGCCTGGCCATCATGGGGAAGCCCTGTCTCTACTAGAAATATAAACTTTAGCTGGGCATGGTGGCACATGCCTGTAATCCCAGCTACTCAGGAGGCTGAAGCAAGGAGAATTGCTTGAGCCCAGAAGTCAGAGGTTGCAGTGAGCCGAGATTGTACCACTGCACTCTACCCTAGGCCAGAGCGAGACTCTGTCACAAAAAAAGAAAAAAAAAAGATACCTCTGTGAACTGAATTCAGCCCTGGGGTACCTCTGAGGGTACACAGCAACTAATAGGGAAAGATTTCTCTTGGGGGCAGTATGGAGCTGATAATATCCCTTGGCCTGGCATGGCGGCTCATGCCTTTAATCCTTTCACTTTGGGAGGCCAAGGCGGGAGGACTACTTGAAGCCAGGAGTTCAACACTAGCCTGGGTAAATAGTGAGACTCCCGTCTCTACAAAAAATTTAAAAATTGAGGCTAAGGCAGGAGAATTACTGGAGCCCAGAAAGTTGAGGCTGCAGTGACCTAGAATCACACCACGCACTCGGACCTGGGTGACAGAGTTTGACTCCAATCTCTCAAAATATTCACCGTAATAATAATGTCCCTTTATGTTGTGAAAAGATCTCTACAGAGCCAGGAGATCTCTGTCTCTTGATCTTCATCCCAAATCCATTTTGCTTTTGATTCAGCCAAGCCAAAGTATTTAGGTCCTGTGCTAAGATGGTCAGGCCCCCAAAAATGGAGAATTTGAATGATGAAATAAAGTATGAATAACTACTGTTAAGCACTTCCTTGGAAGGCTCAGTATAGGGTTAAAAACAGGATTTGGAAACAGAGAAAGCCAAGTCTCCATTCCTAATCAGCAACTTACCAGATGTATGACCTTGGCTAAATTAATTTACCTATAAAATAGGGGCAATATTCTTGCAGTGGTGGTGATTATATGAAAGAGTGCATGTAAAATCCTTGCAAATTAACATTTATTGACTGTCTACCATGTCCTAGACTATTTAAAATGCTGTGTACAGTACTTTTTTTCCTTTAGTTTTTGAGACAGTCTCACTCTGTCCCTCTGGCTGAAGTGCAGTGGCGTAATCTTTGGCTCACTGCAACCTCTGTCTCCCAGGTTCAAGCAATTCTCATGCCTCAGCCACTCGAGTAGCTGGGATTATGGGCACGCGCCACCACACCCGGCTTATTTTTGTATTTTTAGTCAAGATGGGGGGGGGTCTCACCATGTTGGCCAGGCTGGTCTCGAACTGCTGACCTCAGGTGATCTGCCATCCTGGCCTCCAGAAATGCTGGGATTACAAGCATGAGCCACTGTCTACTGTACTTACACCGCCTGGAGAAGCAGGGCTGCACTGAAGTGGAGACAAGGGATGAAGGTGAAGGGAGAGAAGCATTCCAGATGGGAGCACTTAGCATCTGGCAAATGAGCAAAAGTGATGCTTTCAGAGGAAGTTCACATTTCACTGTAGAAGCCCAAGCAGCGGCTGGGCACGGTGGCTCACGCCTGTAATCCCAGCACTTTGGGAAGCTGAGGTGGGCAGATCACCTGAGGTCAGGAGTTAGAGACCAGCCTGGCCAACATGGCAAAAACTCATCTCTACTAAAAATACAAAAATTAGCCAGGCGTGGTGGCATGCACCTGTAATCCCAGCTACTCAGGAGGCCGAGGTGGGAGACTTCCTTGAACCCGGGAGGCAGAGGTTGCAGTGAGCCAAGATTGTGCCACTGCATTCCAGCCTCTCTAGCCCGAGACACACAGGAAAACTCAATTTAAAAAAAAAAAAGAGCACCTACTAAAAAAGGGCACAAACAGCACTAAGGTGTCTCCAAGGGAAAAAAAATCATTTCCAATATCACTTCCATGGGCTGCCTGCACTGACCCCACAGGGTCCCCCATAGTCTCTGTGCTTCTTCAGAGCACCTACTGCAACGAAAATTAGTTATTGCTTAAGTGTTAAATCCACGTCTAAATCTGCTAGACAGGTAGCACCATGACTTGTTCACCATTTTGTTCACCACTCTTTGGTCCATATTTGTTGAATAAATGGATGGATGGATGCAACTGTTACCAAAGATGACACCAAAAGAAATTAATTCCTCTGATGAAGTGAATTAATGGAAAAAATAAGTGAATGAAAAAGTGAGTTGTCAAGTGTAGTGGCATGTGCCTGTAGTCCCAGCTGCATGGGAGGCTGAAGTGGGAGGACTGCTTCACTTAGGAGTTTGAGTCAAACCTGGCAACATAGCTCTGACTCATCTCTTAAAAAATAAAAAATAAAAAAAAGGAAATAAATGACTGAGCGCTGGTTGGGTGCTTGTGTTTCAAATGTATCTTTTTTTTTTTTTTTTTTTGAAACAGAGTCTTGCTCTGTTGCCCAGGCTGGAGTACAGTGGGGTCATCTTGGCTCACTGAAACTTCTGCCTCCCCAGTTCAAGCAATTATCCTGCCTCAGCCTCCCAAGTAGCTGTGATTACAGGTATGCACCACCACGCCCAGCTAGTTTTTGTATTTTTAGTAGAGACGGGGTTTCACCATGTTGGCCAGGCTGGTCTTGAACTCCTAACATCAAGTGATCCGCTTGCCTCAGTCTCTCAAAGTGCTAAGATTACAGGCATGAGCCGTTGCAACCAGCTAATTCTTTTTTTTTCTTATTCAGTCTCCGTAGAGAATGTCAAAAATTGCCAATGCTGACTATATTTTAAGTCATCACAGCAGGGTATTGGGAAAATTTTCAATTAGCAATAATCGAGCATAGGATAAACCTCATCGGCTACAATACTTCCGCTGTGCAAAGCTAGTTTGACGTAAGACTTTAATGGTCATGTATAACTCCTCATAGGGGCAGAAACTTCTCCATCCCCAATTCCAAAGACTCATGTAATCAATATGCAAGAAAGTTCAGAGATGAGACCTCTGGTTGTATTCCAACTTTGGGACATATGGGGATGTTTTTAGTTCAAAGTCACAAATAAATGCAGGCTTCACACCCTGCTTAAGGATTACATGTTTATTCAGGCTGGACCACTATTCTTAACAACAGTTCCTAAACCTTTGCCAGGACTGGGAAGTCTGGCAGGTGAGATTCCTAAGAACCAATCATTCATGCACACATTTCTTGAAGATAAAATATATTATTCCCTAGTTATTTCTTCCTAGGTTTTTGTGGGCCCGTTTCAATATTACAACAGTCTTTATTGGAAAACCCCAAGTATTTTGTCTTGAAAAATCAGCAATCCAGGTGTAAAAAATAGCACAGAATGCCCAATTTTACTTTGATAATTACATTGTAGTCAGTTTCCGCTCCTGGCTAAAGGCTTGGATTTCCTTCTGGGCAATTGCTAAAGGCACAGGTTGCACGGAAGAAATCGTTCCATTTTCATCTGCTCTCCTTATTTGATTGGTGTCTCGTTACCAAAACAATCATCAGGCCCTTGGATTACCTTCTTGAACTGATCTTCTAAATCGCAAGTCTAGGTTTGACACAGGAAAGAGAAGTTAACTCAGGCACACCCTGCCCCATCTCTACAAGGGAAAGACCAACTTGCCCTTCAAGATCCCATAGTTTCTCATGCCTTTCTTGCCTCCTGCTTTTAGTTTCTATAATCCTCCCCCTTGAACTCCCATCACTGAAAGTCATCAGTAAATGCTATTCCCCCCCAAAAAAAAGATTAATGGGTTTGCCTATTTGTTTCCTGCCTGGAATTCGCTTTCCTTCTGGCATCAGCCCCAGATTTTCTTTGGGAAGTCACCCTTCCCTCCTCTTGATCCCTATGTTCTCCAAGGTTGCACTACCGGTATCTATAGATGAATCATGTGACCAAAGGAAGTGCCACCTTCTTGTAGCCACAACAATTGGTTCATAGACAGGGACATCACCCAGTCAGATTCCATGAAACACCACGAGAATCCTGAGTGCCTCACTCTTTCCCACCAGACTGACTCTGAGAAGATATAAGAAGTTGATAAAGCTATCCTGCCCTTATTAGGAAGAGTCTACTTGCAAAAGGAACCAACATAGATAAGAATGAAACTGAAAGAAACCAGGTTCTGGTGACATGGTGAGCTCCTGTGTTAGGCTAGGTCTAAAGCAAGAATTATTCTTGAAATTTTGCTTAAGCCAATTTGGATCCAGTTTGCAACTGAAAAAGTAATAAACACAAGAGCAATTCTTACGGTTATCTTAGATATTTCCCCTGAAATAAATTAGTGTCTTATTCTGTGCCAGTTCAATTACTCACCAGGACTGCCGTCATGCTCCCCCAAATGCAAAGAGCCTTGTTGCTGAAAAAGCAAAAAACAGGCAGCCACGTCATGGAGGAAGAACGCAGATTCAGGGTCTTGTGGCATAGTTGGCACAATCTGTGAGCCTCTCCACCATTTTAAAATTAAGGGATAACAGATTAAGACCAAGCTTCTGCCATAGAAATATTGAACATGTTTTGTTTTTTAGGGAGAGTGACTCTATTCATTTATTCCACAGATATTCTTCTGAGACAGAGTCTTGCTCTGTCTCCCAGGCTGGAGCGGAGTGGTATGATCTCAGCTTACTGCAACCTCCACCTCCTGGGTTCCACCAACTCTGCCTCAGCCTCCAGAGTAGCTGGGATTACAGGCACCTGCCACCAACCCCAGCCAATTTTTTTTTTTTTTTTTCATTTTTAGTAGAGATGGGGTTTTACCATGTTGGCCAGGCTGGTCCTGAACTCCTGACTTCAAGTGATCTGCCCACCTCGGCCTCCCAAAGTGCTGGGATTACAGGCATGAGCCACCGCACCTGGCTATTCAACAGATATTCACTGAGCATTTATATTATTCGAGGTAATAAATTAGGACCTGGGTGACAAGTGAACAGACTTGGTCTCCACCTTCAGAAGATGTACCTTTAGGCCTCCTGATCCCTTACCTAAATTGTGCTGATGGTATAAATTTGCACAGATGATAAATTACATGGCAGTCTTTTCTGTCAAGATCACAGTTTCCAACTTAAGTGGCATTGGCATTAAGGTAGATTTATGGCTGGGCACGGTGGCTCACACCTGTAAACCCAGCACTTTGGGAGGCCGAGGCGGGTGGATCACGAGGTAAGAAGTCCTAGACCAGCATGGCCATGATGGTGAAACCAGGCATGGTGGCAGGTGCCTGTAATCCCAGCTATTCGAGAGGCTGAGACAGAAAATTGCTAACCCAGGAGGTGGAGGTTGCAATGAGCTGAGATCAAGCCACTGCACTCCAGTATGGACGTCAGAGCGAGACTGGCTAATTTTTTGTATTTTTAGTAGAGACGGGGTTTCACCATGTTGTCCAGGCTGGTCTTGAACTCCTGACCTCAGGTGATCTACCTGTCTCTGTCTCCCAAAGTGCTGGGATTACAGACGTGAGCCACCGCACCTGGCCTCTGATGTGCTTTATACATGGAGGCAAATTTGTGTCCTAGGAGTCCCCAAGGCAGTCTCCAGCCTCACCTCCGCCTCTCTCCTTTCCAGAACAAGGGAGCTGGAGTTTGCTTTCTTCTCCATATCCTGCAGCTTGATCAACTTTTCTATCAGGAACATTTTATCTTTGCCCTCCTGCCAAGAAGGTAAACAAAACCAGAAAGAAACAAAAACATGAATGAATGATGGTATGGAATTGAGAAAGCAATTGATGGCAAGAACCTCGATTTTCAGGCAGGTAGGGTCCTAGAAGTAGGATGGAGATTGCTGCCATCTTTTGATGAAAGAAAAGAAACATTTCACAGTAAAACCAAACTGTCCCCCAGAGCCTTCCTGCACTGTAATGTTCTCCTCTAAAGCAGTTCTCCTCTAAATCAATTCCCCTAACAGGCTTGAGCAAGTAGCCTTCTGAAGCCGGCTGCTAGAAGCAGCTTACATGCAAGATCTGAATGGCCTGAAACCATCTGAAAAATGGTTTCCAGTATCCTCCATAGGCATGTGCCCCACCCCAGAAGCATATCGTGTGATCCTAGCAGTGCTGCCTAGGTCTGCCCTGTCCTCCCACAGAGAATTCCAAAGCTTAGAGGGCAGCCGCTAAGGATGTCAAGGGTGTTTCATTTGTCAAAGTTATCTGTGTTGATGGAGATCGTTAATTCCAAGCTGGGAAAATGAACAAAGAAAGGAGGCATGCTTTCTCCCAGGAGGGTGTAATCACTTTCCTGTGAACCCGCATTGCAGATAAGAGTAGAACATTCCACCCGTTGAGGTAGACAAGCAAACACATTTGGTTGTCTGCTCATTCTCAGCCAATCATAGTAGTCCTGTTCCCATGCCTCTGTTTCTCTTTGAACTTTTTTCTTTTAAGAGAAAGCATCTGGCCGGGTGTGATGGCTCATGCCTATAATCCTAGCACTTTGGGAGGTCGAGGTGGGCAGATCTCCTGAGGTCAGGAGTTTGAGACCAGCCTGGCCAGCACGGTGAAACCCCGTCTCTACTAAAAACACAAAAATTAGCTGGGAGTAGTGGTGGGCACCTGTAATCCCAGCTACTTAGGAGGCTGAGGCAGGAGAATCGCTTGAACTCGGGAGGCGGAGGTTGCAGCGAGCTGAGATTGTGCCATTGCACTCCAGCCTGGGCAACAGGAGTGAAACTCCCTCTTAAAAAAATACAAATAAAAATTACCTAGAGAGTGTGCAAGACTGCAAACTTGTAAGTTTTAACCAACAGATTTTTATTCAGAGACTGAACTGCATTGTCATTAAAAGCGCAAACCTTTTCTTAAGACAGGGATCTTGTTCTGTCATCCAGGTTGGAGAGCAGTGGTGCAATCACAGCTCACTGCAGCCCCAAACGCCTGGGCTCATGCAATCCTTCCATCTCAGTCTCCAGAGTAACTGGGTCTACAAGTATGAGCCACCACGCTTGGTTAAGAGCACACACTCTGGAGTCTCCTTGTTCAAATCCCAACCATTTACTAGCCCTATAACTTAGAGCAGTGAATCACTATACTCTGAAAGCCCTTCCTTAGTTTTTTTGTTTGTTGTTTTGTTTTTGTTTTTGTTTTTGAGATGGAGTTTTGCTCTGTCACCCAGGCTGGAGTGCAGTGGCACAATCTCAGCTCACTGCAACCTCAACTTCCTGGGTTCAAGTGATTCTCCTGTCTCAGCCTCCTGAGTAGCTGAGACTACATGTGCGTGTCACCACGCCCTGCTAATTTTTGTATTTTTAGTAGAGATGGGATTTCACCGTGTTGGCCAGGCTGGTCTTGAACTCCTGACCTTAGAGAATCCACCTGCCTTGGCCTCCCAAAGTCCTGCGATTACAGATGTGAGCCACCATGCCTGGTAAAAATTCCTTTTTTAATAGAAGAATTTCAGCTAATAAATACAGGAGGAATTATACAATTGGAGTATCTCTATGTTGTATTTCCTAATGAAATAAACGGATTTTCTAGGCATTACTCATTGAAGTCCGTTCAGCTAAATCCATTCAGTGAAACGCTGTGACGGGTCAGGCTAAGAAAGCTCAAACTCACTGATTATTGTTAACATCACAGAAAGGGACAATCAGACATTATCTGTCTCAAGACAATGCCATAGGAAAGAACAGCATCACCTATAAAGTATTTTGCCTAAGCTGAATCTGGATCTAGTCAAGTCTCTAGATCTCGTCATCGGTTTACAGGAAACACAAAGAAAAAACCCAGAAACATACTAAACTGCACTGCAGAGTTGCAAATCAGATATATGCAGAACATGGCAGGGTGCAGTGGCTCACACCTGTAGTCCCAGCACTTTGGGAAGCTGTGGCAGGTGGATCACTTGAGGCCAGGAGTTTGAGACCAGCCTGGCCAACATGGCAAAACACCATCTTTACTAAAAACACTAAAATTAGCTGGGCGTGGTGGCACACACCTGTGATCCCAGCTACTTGGGAGGCTGAGGCACAAAAAGTGCTTGAACCCGAGAGGTGGAGGTTACAGTGAGCTGAGATTGTGCCACTGCACTCCAGCCTGGGCAACAAGACCGAAACTCTGTCTCAAAAAAAAAAAAAAAAAAAAAAGAAGAAGAAGAAGAAGAAGAATTTAAATAAATAAGAAAATAAAAATAAGGGATTTGCTGGGAAGAGAAGGTGTAGACGAAATAAGAATATACAAACACTGATGGCTGTTAGGGCTGAGAGCAGGGATATGAGAGTTCATTGCAGTATTGTCTTTATTTTGGAGGATGTCTCAAAGTGTCTCTTATACAGAGCTTTAAAAGGGTAGGGGTGGATATCAGAGGGATCCAAGGGGACTTACATTAATGATCTGCTCATGGAGCAACCTGATCATAATCTTCCTTCCCTCTGTGATCTGCCAGTAAAGATAGGTGATGATTCTGGAAGAGGAGAAAAGAAAGAATGACAGACACTCTTGCCAACGTTTTGCAGGCTGCGAATTTCCACTGGATGCAAAGGAACTGGAATCTGTGGTTGCAGATGGATTTGGGCCCAAACGTGTTTCTGAAAAGTCATGTTGGGGTGAGTTATAGGTTAAATACATTGGAGCAATGGTTCTCAACTTGGCTGCTCATGGAATCATCTGGAAAGGGGAAACAAGCCCATGCCACAGCCCCTCTTCAGACCAATTAATTGAGCATCTCTGGGCATGTCATCTTTTTAACAGGGGACAAGCAGGTATTGCTTTCTTAATAGAACAAGTTTTTTAAAAATCCCTAAGACAAGAAGATAATATATAAGCTCTCAACCCCACCCCTCCGAGACGGGATCTTGCTTTTTCACCCAGGCTGGAGTACAGTGGCATGATCAGAGCACATTGCAGCCTCAAACTCCTAGGCTCAAGCAATACTCCCATCTCAGCTTCCCAAGAAGCTTGGGCTACAGGCACAAGCCACTGCACCAGGCTAAATAACTTTTTAAAAACATTATCAATGCAAGGTTGGGCAAGGTGTAATCCTGTAATCCCAACACTTTGAGAGGCCGAGGCAGGAGGATAACATGAGGCCAGGAGTTGGAGAACAGCCTGGGCAACACAGGGAGACCCCATCTCTCCAAAAATTTAAAAAATTAGCCAGGCATAATGGTGCACACCTGCAATCCCAGCTACTTGGAGGCTGAGGTAGGAGGATTGCTTGAGCCTAAAAGGTAGGGGTTGCAGTGAGCCATGATCATCCCACTGCAGTCCAGCCAGGGCAATAGATTGTGATCCTGTCTGAACCAAAGAAAGAAGGGAAGGGAAGGAAAGAGGAAGGGAAGGAGAAGGGGAAGGGGAGGGGAAAGGGAGAAAGGAAAGAAGAATGGAAAAGAAAAAATGAAAAAAGAAAAGAAATAAAGAAAAAGAAAAAAAGAAAGAAAGAGGGAGGGAGGAAAAGAAAGGAAGGAAGAAAACTACCTATGCAAGGGTAGAGTCACCCAGAACACTGAGCTCTGCTATAGCCATTTGCTTTCCAACCAAACATCCCTGCTGCTGTTTCCCGGGAGAGCTCTTGGCTTCCCCGCTAGATTCCCCAGGTGTCCCACTCACAGCACAATGAGGGTGAGGATGAAAAAGAAGTGCACGCTTCCAATGAGGTTCTGATAGATCCAAACAACCCACAGGTAGCCAGGCCGTGTACTCAGGGTGTCGATCCAGCTGTAGATGGAGTGAATGAAGAAAGGCAGACCTCGAAAAGGGCCACAGTCAGCTGAAGGCTTCAATCTGGTAAAACAAAGGATGGAAGAACATCTCTAGCACAAGTCTCAGGGATGGTTGTTCTAGAATCAGGGTGACCTTTCTGGACTCTGGGCCTGAAAACATCAAGCCTTGCCTGATCCACTTATACCCCTTCCCAAGGAAACTCTCTCACTCACAGCCTTGCTGGGGTGACCTGTGCTCCAAGCACTGGCTCTTGGTTCACAGGGATCACCTGACCCAAAAGCAGCCAGTCCAAAGGCCAGGCAGTGACTTCTGCAGTAACTTGGCTCAATGATTGAATGGGGGACAGTCAGACTCTCTTTCTTAAGAACATGAATTAAGGCCAGGCACTATGGCTTATGCCGCCAATCCCAACACTTTGGGATGCCAAGGTGGAAGAACTGCCTGAGCCCAGAAGTTCAAGACCAGCCTGGGCAACATGGAGAGACTCTGTCTCTCTCTATATATATATAATGAGCTACGATCATACCACTGTACTGCAGCCTGGGCAACAGAGTAAGACCCTGTCTAAAAAAAAAAAAACAACTTGAATTAAGGCTGAGTGTGGTGGCTCACCTACAATCCCAGCACTTTGGGAGATCAAGGCGGGAGGATCACTTGAGGCTAAGAGTCTGAGACCAGCCTAGGTAACACAGCAAGACCCCTATTTCTACCAAAAAACAAAAAATTAGCCAGGCTTGGTGATGTGCACCTACAGTCCCAGCTACTCAGGAGGCTGAGGTGGGAGTTTCACTTGAGTCCAGGAGTTTGAGGGTGCAGCGAGCTGTGATTGTGCCACCGCACTCCAGCCTGAGTGACACAATGAGGCCCCGTCTCAAAGAAAGAACTTGAATTAAGACGCATAAAGAGGGAACCCTGTTAGCTATGGAGGAATGAGCAGAAACTAAAGGGCAACAAGGAACTGGTGAGGAAGAGAAAGAAGAAAGTGGATACACCAAGAGAAGCAAGGATGTTGTGGAGCAAGGAACGGAGGGTCCCAGTTCCACGTGTGTCCTAAAAATCATCTCCCTTGTTCATTCATTCATTCATTCAATTATTCATTCACCCTTGGTTTATTCTGTTAAGTGCTATTCTAGTCAGGCTCTGGGGACTCCATATTAAGCAAGGCAGACAGTTCCTGCCCTATTGGGCTTATGTTCTGGTGGGAACAATGGACAATTGTTGAGTAACAATTAAACAAAAACAGAGGCATTCCTGATTATGAATGATGGAATGAAGGAAAGAAACTCAGGCCTGAGAGAGAGGCAGTGGGGAACTGATGGCAGACAAGGCAGGCTCTGAAGGTCAGATCTTGGAGAGGGCCTTGGAGCTGAGAATCAGAGGGTGGAGAGGAGGCAGCCAAGCAAAGGGAGTGGGGAGAGGACTTCACTCAGAGGACTCTGCCCATGTTGGGAGGGGTTCGCTTGCTTCCAGGAATGAGGTGAGAGCCGTGAGGCTGGGGGAAGCCAAAGGGAGGCGGGGTTGGAGGGGTGGGAGGAGCTGGATCAGTCCTGCTTTTCCGTTAACTTAGATTAAGTTCTGTTCCAGATGTGAAGCACTGGCGGGAGTCTCTCCCCATTCTGGGAAGCTTCAGTTTCGATGGGTAGTGATCAAACTAGGATGTATTCCCTCCCTGGCTTTTAGTGACTGTTGGTTAGCAAGGGAACTTAGGTTAGACACTGTATTAAGCCTGTTTACTCTGATGTTTTAACATCTGGGGTCTTAATGACCCCAGCTCCCTGGGCTAGCTTGCAAAGCACACCTTTCAAATGCACACCAACCAACCCAGATCCCACATGCCAAACGCCCCCTTTATCAGGCTCCTACACTCTGGGCCACCACTCTCCTGCCCTCATCACACCAGGCCAGGTCCCAGATGACTCAGGACAGCCCCACATTCCACAGCCTACTCAAACCAGCCGATTCTAAACCTGCTTCCCCTGCCTTGCCCATTCCTTACCACAGAAAACCACAACAAAGGCTCTGGCTCATGATTCCCTTCACTCCCTCTGCCTCCTGACCTAACCCCACGTTTCCCTGTGTGATCCCTGTGCCCCCTCTCTCAGGAACTGTGAGTACTAAACTATCTTTTTACTGGTGGTCATTCCTGATCTGCTGGGTGTCACCACACCTAAATTATCTATCTATCTATCTGTCAATCTATCTATCTATCTATCATCTATCTATTTATTTATCTATCTATTTATTTAGATAGCATCTGGCTCTGTCACCCAGGCTAGAGTGCAGTGGTGCAATCTCAGCTCACTGCAACCTCCACTTCCCAGGTTCAAGTGATTCTCCTGCCTCAGCCTACCGAGTAGCTGAGATTACAGGCACACACCACCACGCCTGGCTAACTTTTGTATTTTTAGTAGAAACAGGGTTTCACCATGTTGGCCAGGCTGGTCTCGAACTCCTGGGCTCAAGTGATCCACACACCTTGGCCTCCCATAGTGCTGGGATTGCAGGCATGAGCCACTGTACCTGGCCTCACCGCATCTGAATTATAATAAAACCTACATTTTAAAACACACGCCCTTCCACCCAGTCTCTAAAACTTCACCCAAGGCCACGTTTTCCTACCTCCAGATGGTGATGGCCAGGGTGCACAAGACCCCGGTGAAGGACGGGAAAAAGAGCAAGAAGATGAAGAAAGTCATCATCTGTGAGGCCCGCCAGGCTTTGCTTGGAGGCTGGAAATTCATCATCAGGCTGACCTGAAGAGAAAGAGGCAGCCCCCTCCCATCTGCAGCCAGAGCAGCAGCAGGGGGACCCCAGCCAGGCCCAGCCTCATGAGACCTTCGCAGAGACCCCTTCCCCAGCTTTAAGCGCACCAGGTCACAGGCGTTTGGGCAAAATTGATTGATGGCAATGTCGACTGACTCACATTTTTGGCGTAGAACATGATGAAAAGCATAATCATTTGGATAAAGGGCAGCAGGGGGCAGAAGAAGATTCCAATCCTGAGAGGGAGAGAGGGTGAGTGTCAGAGGCGGGGGGGAGACACCAGGAGTTGGGGTGAATCTGGGGGGTTGGAGGGAAGAGAAAAAGGATGTTGTGGCCTGGATTGTGTCTCCCCAAAAATCCATATGTTGAGGCCTTAACCCCCAATATCTCAGAATGTGACCGTATTTGGAGGCAGGGCCTTTGAGAGGTGATTAAGGTAGAATGAGATCACTACAGCAGGCTTTAATCCAGTATAACTGGTGTCCCTAAAAGAAGAGATCAGGAGGCTGGGCGAGGTGGCGCTTGCCAGTAATCCCAGCACTTTGGGAGGCCAAGGCGGGTGAATCACCTGAGGTCAGGAGTTTGAGACCAGCCTGACCAACATGGTGAAACCTCATCTCTGCTAACACAAAAATTAGCCAGGCGTGATAGCACGTGCTTGGAATCTCAGCTACTTGAGAGGCTGAGGCAGGAGAATCCCTAGAACCCAGGAGGCGGAGGTTGAGGTAAACTGAGATTGTGCCACTGCACTCCAACCTGGATGACAGAGCGAGAATTCATCTCAAAAAAAAAAAAAAAAAAAAAAAAAAAAAAAAAGAAGGAAGAAGAGGAGATTAGGACATAGACACACACAGATACGGAAGACCATGTAAAGACATAGGGAGAAGGTGGCCATCTATAAGCCAATGAGAGAGGCCTGAGACAGATCCCTCCCTTATGGCCCTCAGAGGAAACCAACTCTACCCACACCTTGATCTTGGACTTCTGGCCTCTAGAACTGTGAGACAAGAAATTGCTGTTGTTTCAGCCACTCAGTGTGTGGGACTTCGTCATGGTAGCCCCAGCAAACTAATACAGAGGGGGCCTGCTTCCATCCCGGCAAATTAGGCAGATTCCCGCCATACCAAGCATCCACAGCTACCTTCTCTCCAGCTCTGAAAAGGAGTTTTTTCAATTTGTGATGAAGTCTCATTCTGTTGTCTAGGCGGGAGTGCAGTGGTGCGATTTCACTGTACCTCTGCTCCCCAGGTTTAAGCAATTCTCCTGCTTCAGCCTCCCAGGTAGCTGGGACTACAGGTGCCTGCCACCACGCCTGGCTAATTTTTTGTGTGTTTTTAGTAGAGACAGGGTTTCACCATCTTGGCCAGGCTGATCTTGAACTCCTGACCTCGCGATCCACCCCCCTCGGCCTTCCAAAGTGCTGGGATTACAGGCATGAGCCACTGCGCCCGGCTTGGAAAGATTTTATAGAGAAGCCACCCACCCACCTACCAACCCAACAGATGGTATTCATCATGTCCTAACTTAGCAAGTCCCAAATTTAAGGCATACCCTATGCCTTGCCCTCCTCCTTCTTGCTCCCCCATGGTATTCAAGGTCTGAGGTCCTGCAGGGACAAGGCATTCAAAAGCATTGAGTTCCAAATAAGAAAGGCATTCCGTTTCCAACTGTCCTTCAGTGCTCTTCAGCAACAAAAGGAGAAAATCTCAGTGTGGTGCTAGAATGCCTTAACTCCTAACGTGGCAATTTCCCATTTTTTTTTTTTTTTTTTTTTAACAAAAAGGAGTAGATCTTGGGCTAAGAGCCTTGGCAGACGGTATCATCTTGCTAGAATGTAATGACTGTTTGGCATGGGATTGCTTTTATTTTTCCAGTTATTTGTGATTTCTGTCAAATGGCACTGGTTTTTCCATTTACGATTGTAAATAAAGTTTCCTTTAAAAATGTATTTGAGAGGCCAGGCACGTGGCTCCTGCCTGTAATCCCATCACTTTTGGAGGCCGAGGTGGGCAGATCACCTGACATAAGGAGTTTGCGACCAGCCTGGCCAACATGGCAAAACCCCATCTCTACCAAAAATACAAAAATTAGCCAGGCGTGGTGGCACATGCCTGATGTTTTGCCATCTGGGCTCTTACTGACCTCAGGGAGACTGCTGATGTTGGGAAAAGCAGTCTGGCAGTTTACAAAGGCTTTTCTTCCACACTATTTCAAGCGGGATGCCATTGGGCAAGTTACTGAAAATCTCTCTAAACCTTAGTTTTCTAATCTTTAAATGGTAGACATACTAGTACCTACTCACAGGGTTTTGAGGGGATTGAATGGGCACAGTGGCTCCCTCCTGTAATCTTAGCACTTTGGGAGTCTGATGAAAAGCAATTGTCATCTACCACGGCATTAAAAAAAAATGTGTTTGATTTTAAAAAAAGGCAAATAATAAAAAAATTAAGTAGGTAATAGTGCATGTGAAAGGTCGCTATACCAAAACATAGGTAGGCTGGTGTACAATAGACTAAAACTTTGGAAACATGTTCCTCCCCTCACCTCTACCACTGTCCCTAACATATAGCCTTTTCTATCATTATATTATCTTGTAAAACTCATCATCAAAGGCAATATTTTCCTAAAACCACAAAGGTTAGAACTGTAATAACCATGGGGAAAAAAAGATATGTGTTTTTGATTGTGCTTATTCATGATTTATCGACAAAAATCTCAAAGGCCCAGAAGTCGTAATGGTAATTTCTTTTTTTTTTTTCTTTTTGAGACAGAGTGTTGTGTTGTCTCCCAGGCTAGGGCATGATCTTGGTTCACTGCAACCTCCGCCTCCCTGGTTCAAGCTATTCTTCTGCCTCAGCTTCCCAAGAAGCTGAGATTACAGGCACGTGCTACCATACCCAGCTAATTTGTATTTTTAGTAGAGTCAGGGTTTCACCAAGTTGACCAGGCTGGTCTTGAACTCCTGACCTCCGGTGATCTGACCGCCTCGGCCTTTCAAAGAGCTGGGGTTATAGGCATGAGCCACCATGCGTATTTAATCCTCTCAAAAACCCTGTGAGTAGGTATCTCTACCATTTAAAGATTAGAAAACTAAGGTTTAAAAAGTGTTTATGTAACTTGTCCAATGACATCCTAGTTGAAATAATGTGGAAGAAAGGCTTTTGTAAACTGCCAAATTGCCAGGTGACATAGCAGCATGCAAATATATCACCTAAACTGCCGAAAAAGGTCCTCACTGTCTTCTAAAAAAAAACTCATTAACACTGAGTTATCTGCAGACAGCCAAATCACCCAGGGCAGCTTTAAAGAGTCAGAAAATAAAACACTCTTCCATTGTATGACATACTGGCATTTGCAAAGCAATTTTCTTTTTTTTCCTTTTTTTTTTTTTTCTGAGATGGAGTTTTGCTCTTGTTGCCCAGGCTGGAAAGCCATGGTACAATCATCTCGGCTCATTGTAACCTCCGCCTCCCAGATTCAAGCAATTCTCTTGCCTCAGCCTCCCGAGTAGTTGGGATTACAGTCATGCACCACCACACCCGGCTAATTTTTTGTATTTTTAGTAGAGACGGGGTTTCTCCATGTTGGCCAGGCTGGTCTCAAACTCCTGACCTCAGGTGATCTGCCCACCTCAGCCTCCCAAAGTGCTGGGATTACAGGCGTGAGCCACCGTGCCTGGCCTGCAAAGCGGTTTTCATCTACCATGGCATTTAATCCTCAACATGATTCGAAGGCAGCTGTTATATTCATTTACATATGAGACTGAGGCTCAGACAAGCACAGTGATCTCCGTGAGTGGCAGAGCCAGCCTCAGAATTCAGTTTATGCAATTCCAAATCCAACGCTTTCAAATTAGCAACACCCCATCAGATGGAGCCTGGAAACGTGATTCACCATACAGAATTCTGGTGTTAATTGAATTGTGTTAAAATAAATAAGGAAAAGTAAGGCAGGAAGATTGCATGAGCTCAGGAAGTTGCAGCTGCAGTGAGCCATGATCACGCCACTGCACTCCAGCCTGAGCAACAGAGTGAGACCCTGTCTCAAAAATAAATAGGCTGAGCATGGTGGCTCACACCTATAATCCCAGAATTTTGGGAGGCTGAGGTGGGTGGGTCACGTGAGGCCAGAGGCTCAAAACCAGTATGGCCAAAATGGTGAAACCCTGTCTCTACTAATGCAAAAATTAGCCAGGTGTGGTGGTGCATGCTTGTAGTCCCAGCTACTTGGGAGGCTGAGGCAGGAGAACTGATGGAACCTGGGAGGTGGAGGTTGTACCACTGCACTTCGGCCTCAGCAGCAGAGCAAGACTCTGCCTCAGGAAAAAAAAAAAAAAAAAAAGAAAGAAAGAAAGAAAAGAAAAACAAATAAATAAGGAAAGACAGCCCCTGACTATTGGTTTGCAGTTTCCAGGTGAGTGTGTAAAAATATTTGCTGCAACCAGTTAGCTATTCTCAATGGCCAAAAACCATAGAGAACCCACCAAATAGTACGTCAGATATAAGAAACACTCAGCCCTCTCTGCCTCTGCTTATTGTCCCATTGCTGTGGAGACATGGATGTAAAGTTTGCAGGCAAACTAACAGCCTAAAGGCAATGAAAAATGGCAAATCAATGCTAGGAGACAACAGTTAAAGGTGGAGACTGTGGCAAACTGGAGAAGCTCAGTTTGCCACAGATCTTTCTGGAGAGAAGCCAGAAATTTAAGTGTTATGTGAACTCTCCTGAAGTTTAAATACGGGTGGTTGTCTTAGTCCATTCAGGCTGCTATAACAAAACGTCATAAACTAGGTGGATTATAAACACCAGAGGCCGGGCGTGGTGGCTCATGACTGTAATCCCAGCACTTTGGGAGGCCAAGGTGAGCGGATCACCTGAAGTCAGCAGTTCGAGACCACCCTGGCTAACATGGTGAAACCTATCTCTACTAAAAACACAAAAAATTGGCTGGCGTGGTGGCACACGCCGGTAGTCCCAGCTACTTGGGAGACTGAGGCAGGAGAATTGCTTGAACCTGAGAGGCGGAGGTTGCAGTGAGCCGAGATCGCGCCACTGCACTCCAGCCTGGGTGACAGAGTAAGACTCTGTCTAAAAAATAAAAATAAATAAATAAAACAGCAGAAATTTATTTCTTATGGTTCTGGGGCTTAGGAAATCCAAGTTCAAGGTGCGGCAGATTTGGTGTCTGGTGATGCCCTGCTTAGTGATTCCTAGATATTGCCTTCTCTCCATGTCCCCACACGGTAGAAGGGGCAAGGAGTCTCTTGGGCCTTGTTTATAAGGGCACTAATCCCATTCCTAAGAGCCATGTCAAAGATCAGATCACCTCCCAAAGACCCTACCTCCATCACATAGGAAGTTAAGTTTCAACATATGAATTTGCGGGGAGACCCAAACATTGAGACTATAGCAGTGGTTAATTCAAATTTTTGGAGCAAACAAAACACACCTGCAGGGCTGGACACGACCTGTGGGCCTCCAGGTTGAGATCCCTGCTCTATGCTGATTCTTGTCTGAAGTCCTTAAGCTCTCATAAAGGAAAATAATAGTCTCAATGCTAAATTCATGGTTCTCAGACTAACTGGATGGGGTATCACCCATGCAGCTTTAAAAACAACAGATTTTGGGGCTTTGCCACCAAAACACCAACCCCACAGTCACATAGGAACCACTGGGCATTTTGCTGAGTCACAAAACTTACCACACCAGAGTTTGTGCATAGATGAGTTCTAGAACATTCCTGGCAATGTCAAACTCCTGGACTCCAAGACTTTTGATCAGTTGCATCCCAATGATTCTGTGAAGACATACTGAATTTAGTACCCAAACCATAACTCCCACTTTCAAAAGATCCCCCACAGACTAGGACAAACAGCAGAAGAGACCCTCACCAGCTTGAAATAAAGTCGTAAGTTCCCTCGCAAATTTTTCAAAAGTTCTAAATCTACAAACATGTTTTTGAAGAAGTAATTGAAGGATTGAGGGAAAACTGGTTTAACAAAATGCAGTGAAGTGGGAGTTTAAAAAATTCTAGAGAACATTTGTTACCCTGAACATTTAAATTATCCCACTATTATATTATACCCCTCTTTGGTAATTAAACATTTTTTTTCATGAACCAGGTGAACTCAGCACCTTTCAAATAAACATTTGAAAGATATTTAATTGAGAACTCAACTCAAACATTTTTAAATGTTTGGTTGCTGCTATCAAATTAATTATTTTTTCCTGTATTCTAAATCCACAAGAAGGAAACCAAGTTACCATTTACTCTGGGGAAACTTTATTCTATATTAATTTATTAATAAAAAGGAGTTGCCAATTAAAAAAAAGTTCTGTCAAAAAGTAAAAAATCTTTTCATCTTTTTTTGGAGGGGAGGGGATGGAGTCTTGCTGTGTCACCCAGGCTGAAGTGCAATGGCACAAACTCGGCTCACCGCAACCTCTGCCTCCTGGGTTCAAGCAATTTTCCTGCCTCAGCCTCTCAAGTAGCTGGGATTACAGGCATGCACCACCACTCTTGGCTAAGTTTTGTATTTTTAGTAGAGACAGGCTTTCACTACATTGCCAGGCTGCTCTTGAACTCCTGACCTCAGGTGATTCACCTGCCTTAGCCTCCCAAAGTGCTAGGATTACAGGCATGAGCCATTGCACCCAGCCAAACCTTTTCACCTTTACATCCAGACCCTCAACAGAGGGTAGAATAAAAGCACATTTTGGCATAAATGAAGGAGGAAATTTGGCATTGAATCTACCCACTAGAAAGTAATCATCATCACACCATCTTATCTGATAGACCATCTTATTACTAGAGCAACTTACAGAAATACGTAAATGTCTATAAGGAATGAGAGGTTTATCATATTATTTAAAAAATAAATTACTAAATTTAAAAAACCAGACATGACACAATGACAATGCCTCAATTTTGTATATATTGTATCTAATATAAAATTAGCACATTAATTCAATTAAAGCAATGAGATAAATCTACATGTACTGACATGGAAAGATGTCAAGACATAGTGGTACATTAATTCAAGCAAATTCTACAATATGATGCAGTGTGACTCCATTTTTGCTTTTGAAAATTATATAATATTATATAGTAAACGCACACACAGAGCAATGTGTGCGTAGAAAAATCTGGAAGAATATATACTATAGTATTAAAATTATCCATAGTGGATAAGATTTCTTTTTTTTTCTTTGCCTTTTTCTTTTTTTTTTTTTTTTAGAGACAGTCTTGCTATGTTGCCCAGGCTAGTCTTGAGCTCCCGGCCCAAGTGATCCTCCCATCCCAGTTTCTCAAAGTGCTGGGATTACAGGCGTGAGCCACTGCACCCAGGTGGATAAGATCTCAAATGGCTCCGTTTCTGTCTTTTATTTCTAGAATTTGTTTTCAAAAGAAGGTTGTAAAGGGTCAACTGAACCAAGTGAACTAGGACAACAGAATTGTCAGGTTAAGGGGAAATTTTAGCTAATGTGGGAGAGAACAGTATCCCTAAGGACAACAGGTAGAATTGGAACAATGCATGCTTTGAGCATGTAAGGGATCTGTACATCCCCCTCAGCCAGAAACCAGGTTCTGGTTACAGCATCAGGCACTAATTACTTAACAATGACAAATAATTACCTCCTCAAAAACTCCCCCAGGAAGGAATCGGCTAAAGAGAACACAAAATCCATCAGAAGGAGCCGGTAGATTTCCTGGCCAATTAGAGTTTCCCAACACTGAAAGGCAAACAACAGTCGGAATGTGGGAAGGGGCTGTGGCCTCAGTTCAATTCTCCTCTGTTCCTAGCTCTGTGTACCCATTAGGACATGGCTAATGATTTGGTTTGCCCAAGTCTTTGTGTACGCAAAAAACTAGACCCACCCTGTAAAAATGCAGCCAAGTTTGTTTTCAGGGGTGTTATTCCCTTTTTGGTTTCCTTCTTCTCCCCCTTAAAGCTTGTCTTCCACATATACCCAAACTTTCCCTGCTCATGATCTCTCCCCTTAAAACTTTTCATCTCTGCCCTATCCCCTCTGGATCCCATTTCTCAGCCAGGGGCAATCAGTTTCTTCAAGAGACCAAGAAGTGTCGCCGAGGCTGGAGTGCAGTGGCCAGGTCTTCACTCTTTTTGCTTATTGACCTTACAATAAAATTAATTAATATCTGCTTAAGAAAGTGGCCTAGAGGTTTAGCAGGCTAGTGTAAACTGGAAGCTCAAATTAGTTATAATCTATAAAACAGTGGCTAGGAACCTCTGCAGGAAGTCAGTGCTATCAGCTGATAGACTGGGAGCTTTTAGATTTGGCTGAAGGAGGAGAGAAAACTTTTGGGTGCACAGGCCAAGGATGAATGGATGTATGGATGAGTAAATGGGTGGATGATGGATGAGTGGATAGATGGATACATAGATGGATGAATAGATGGCTGGATGAATACATGAATCGATAGATAAATGGATGGATGCATGCATGAATGGATACATGGATGAATAAAGGGATGGATGGTTGGATAAATGAATGGATAGATGAATACATGAATGGATAGATAAATATATGTATGGATAGATGGATAAATGGATGAATGGATGCATACATGGATGGATAAAAGGATAAGTAGATGGATGTATGAATGGATGGATAGATGGATACATGAATGGACAGATGAATACATGGATGGATGAATATATGCATAGATGAATAAATAGATGATGGAGGGATGGATGGATAGATGGATGCATGAATGGATAAATGCATGGAAGAATAATATGGTATCTGCTCTAACCATCCTAACTTGGAGGGCTGATTTTGAATCTCTTTGACAATAAGGGAAAGAAGTTGAGGGTGCCATGTTCATGTAAGATGGTTTGAGTCTAGACACAGCAGAGCTATTTTGGAGCCCAGGAATAATGGGTAACAGAGAAATAGAGACAGGCTCCTGATTCCTTGACTCTACTGCCGACCCCAGGGCATCCTGGGTATCTGAGGGCTCATGATGACCATCCTCTAAGGATTATTGTGCAATGTGAAGGCACATTCTCATGGGGGATGCAATAGCAGGGGCAGAGGCATCCCAACGAGAAGGCCAGAGAGGTTGGTTTGTTCCTGAATCCACATAGGACACCGTCCTCAGAATGAGGCCATCAGGCACCCATTCTCTGATGTTAGGGAAGACTAAAAACTGTAGGTAAGTGAAGGACAGCCAGGAACAGTCAGCATTAGGACATAATTTTTACTTCCAGTATTTATGAGCTTATAGATCGGTAAAGCCCAGGGTATCTAGGTTACAGGAAAAACAGAATATCAAGGATCAAAAAGGATTTTGTTCAATCCCAAGGCTGTTAAAACAGACTAGCACTGCCGGGCGCGGTGGCTCACGCCTGTAATCCCAGCACTGTGGGAGGCCGAGGCGGGTGGATCACGAGGTCAAGAGATCGAGACCATCCTGGTCAACACGGTGAAACCCCGTCTCTACTAAAACTACAAAAAATTAGCTGGGCATGGTGGCACGTGCCTGTAATCCCAGCTACTCAGGAGGCTGAGGCAGGAGAATTGCCTGAACCCAGGAGGCGGAGGTTGCGGTGAGCCAAGATCGCGCCATTGCACTCCAGTCTGGGTAGCAAGAGCGAAACTCCGTCTCAAAAAAAAAAAAAAAAAAAAAAACAGACTAGCACTAAAATTACTACCATCCATTGCATATGCTGGGCACTGTACTTATACTACATATGACATTGCTTAATCCCAATTTTACAGATGAGAAAACTGAGGCTAAAAGAGATTAAGTGATCAGCAGATGACACAGCACAGCTGGCCTTCAAATCAGATCCCCCTGACTTCAGAACCTGAGCTTTTTTGTTGAGACCCATTTTGCCTTATGTTGCTTCCCAGATTAGTTTCCATTCTCTTCCCACAAGGAATTAATACCAAATATGGAGTGTGATGGTTCTTGAGAAACCCATATCCTCCCTGTTGGTCGAACGCTAAGAAACCAAACTTAGGGCAGAGAAGCATAGAATCTTACCTCTTCACCAGACAGGGCCACAGTGTTGAGCCAATAGTAACAAAGAATGCCAATGATTGATATTTTCAAAAAGATGTTTCTAAACAGAAGAAACAACATTTATGATTACCTTCAATGACAGTCTTTCATGCTGTCTGCTAATAGTTTCTTTTGGGCACATGGTAAGGTAGAAATTCCTGGCCCCTATGGTTGGAGGGCGGCACATGGCTAGTTCCAGTGAATGAATTGTGAGCAGAAGCAATGTGTGTCACTTCTAAGCTGAAGCAATTAATGCGCCTGTGAGACCCTCCAGAACTCCCCATCTTCTCTTTGGAATGGTGACCAATGATATTCAAGACGGCTGTTGCTCTCTCAGCCTGGATCCCTCAGTGACTAACATGAGAAGGCCCGTTTTGACAACCCGCACTGTGTATGTAACATGAGCAAGAAATAAACCTTTGTGTTCCAAGCCCCTGAGATTTGGGGGGATGTTTGTTACTGCAGCATAACCTAATTTATTCCAAATGATACATTCTCTTTTGTTGGACTTCCAAATGATTTAATTTCACTTCCTATTACAGTAATAGTAAATGTACAAAATGTTTATTGGGTGTTGACCCAACATACATTGCCAAGCTCTTTACTGAATCATCCCCTTCAGTCTTTACAACTCCATCATCTGGTAGATGGTATTTTGTGTCCATCATACTCAATATGCAAGGTTATGGGGTGAGAGTGAGACCTAATATTCTCCCTTCTAAACATACTTTAAAAAGCGGCATCATGGATCAGTGGGTGGGATGTGGGGAATAATGAGGGTACAGGAATATAGTCAGAACCAACTTTCTTTCTTTCTCCTTCTCTCTCGTTCTTTCCCTTCCTCCCTCCCTTCCTCCCATCCTCCCTTCCTCCCTTCCTTCCTCTTTTTTGAGACAGGATCTCATTTTGTTACCCAGACTGGAGTACACTGGTGTGGCCATGGCTCACTGCAGCCTCGACCTCCCGGCTCAAGGACTTCTCCTACCTCAGCCACTTGAGGTAGCTGGGACTACAGGCGCAATCCACCGTGCCCGACTAATTTTTAAATTTTTTGTAGAGATGGAGTCTCACCATGTTGCCCAGGCTGGTCTTGAACTCCTGGGCTCAGGCAATCCTCCCACTTTGACCTCCCAAAGTGCTAGGATTACAGGCATGAGCCACTGCACCTGGCTGGAATTTTTCATAATATCAATTGGATATAACTGACTGACTGATTTGTTCATTCATTCATCAATCATTCTTGAGCACCTATGATATCTCAGACGCTGCGAACAAGGCAAAGATTTCCCCGTAAACTGTGGGGGAGGAAGATAAATAAACGCATATATGTTAGGAAGTGGTAACAAAAAATTATATGGTATAAGAGAAAGGGTGGGAGGGAGCTGTTATTTTTAATGAAGTGTGCAAGGAAGAGAGCAACATGAGGGTGATGTTTGAAGAACGCAAAATGCAGTCAGTAAGCAAGCCTTGTGGTGTGGGTGGGAAGAATGTTCCAGGCCCATGCAAAAGTCCAGAGGTGGGAAAATAGTTTGGCATGTTTGTGAACGGTTAGGAGGTCAGTGACAGGGACAGGCAGTGAGCAGGAAGGAAAGGGGGAAAAAATGAGGCTGGAGTGCTGGCCAGGAGCCAGATCTCACAGACCATGGTAAGGCTCTGGAACTGATCAGCAAAGAAACTCAGTCTGTGTTGTACAGACCTATACTTTTTTCTTTTTTTTTTTTTTGAGACAGAGTCTCACTCTGTTGCCCAGGCTGGAGTGCAGTGGCTGGGTCTTGGCTCACTGCAAACTCCACTTCTTGGGTTCAAGTGATTCTCCTGCCTCAGCCTCCCAAATAGTTGGGATTACATATGTACATGACCACACCCAGCTAATTTTTATATTTTTAGTAGAGACAGCATTTCGCCACATTGGCCAGACTGGTCTCGAACTCCTGACCTCAGATGATCCACCCACCTTGGCCTCCCAAAGTGCTGGGATTATAGGCATGAGCCACCGTGCCTGATCTACAGCCCTGTACTTATGACCCCCACCATAACCAGGTACCAGTCAGGAAAGAAACCAGAAGGACAAAATTTGGGTAGTTTCAGGCCTTGTTTAACAAAACTCCGGGATCACTTCTAGTACATATGATGCCTTTGTGGGGATCACAAAAACGCACCCAGTGGGTGCCAGTGAGTTGCCCAAAGCAACCCTCCCACCTTTGTTTGGGTGGTGGAATAACAAAAATGCACCTCTTTCTCCCTCCTGAGGCCATGGGTACCAGGACTCACAGCTTGACTAAGGGGAACACTGGATGATTTTAGTCCCCTCCTCACTCAGGAGCCTTTGTGCAGTGCACTGCCTGCCCATCTGTACATCCCATACTTGAGAACTACATCAATACCCCACTGGTAGCAATCAAGAAAGCAATCAAGCCATGACTTTGAGCAAAAGCCCATACCACACAAACACACTTCATTCTTTTTTTGTTGTTTAAGACAGGGGCTTGCGTTTCACTCATGTTACCCAGGCTGGAGTGCAATGGCTCGATCTCTGCTCACCGCAACCTCCGCCTCCTGGGTTCAGGCAATTCTCCTGCCTCAGCCTCCTGAGTAGCTGGGATTACAGGCACGCACCACCACGCCCAGCTAATTTTTTGTATTTTTAGTAGAGACGGGGTTTCACCATGTTGGCCAGGATGGTCTCAATCTCTTGACCTCGTGATCCACCCGCCTGGGCCTTCCAAAGTGCTGGGATTACAGGCGTGAGCCACCGCACCCGGCCTCATTCTTTTTTTGTTGTTTAAGACAGGGTCTTGCTCTGTCGCACAGGGTGGAGTGCAGTAGTGCCATCATAGGTAACCTCAAGCTCCTGGGATCAAATGATCCTCTCACCTCAGCCTCCTGAGTAGCTGGCACTAACAGGTGCATGCCACTGTGTCCAGCTGATTTTCCGTAGAGGCAGCATCTGGCTATGTTGTCCAGGCTGTTCTCAAACTCCTGGTCTCAAGTGATCCTCCCACCTCAGCCTCCCAAAGTGCTGGGATTACTGGCATGAGCCACCATGCCCAGCCACACTTTACTTTTAAAATTCCATCTTTCTGGAGAACAAAACTGATACTAAAGCATAATCCTTTCTAGCTTCCATCCCACTTCTCTTCATGGAAATAGAGGCTGGTGCTGGGTGTGACAGATGACCTACCGGATCAGGAGAACGTAGACTTCGTGCCGCGGCATCTCGTACCTCTCCACGAGCCTGAACATGGAGTAGATACGCGGCACGACCAGATTAATGCAGGACACAACGAAAGGCAGTAACAGCACCGCCCCAGGGTTCTTGTGTGTCTTCAGGAACTGCAGGGCATGGAGGAGAGAATGGAGAGCTGGCTTGTACACTGTACCCCTTTCTGCCTCACTCAGAAGTCTCCCGTGATGGAAAACCCCAGAAGTAGCTCCTCTGGAGTTAACTATTTATTATTTTTAAAAATATTTTTGAGATGGAGTCTCACTCTGTTGCCCAGGCTGGAGTGCAGTGACATGATCTCAGTTCACTGCAACTCTGCCTCCTGGCTTCAAACGATTCTCCTGCCTCAGCCTCCTGAGTAGCTGAGATTACAGGCCCCCACCACCACACCTGGCTAATTTTTTAATTTTTAGTAGAGACAGTGTTTCCCCATGTTGGCTGACTGGTTTCAAACTCCTGACTTCAGGTGATCCATCCACCTTGGCCTC